TCATAGTTTTTCTTCTTTATGATGACTCATTATTTCTTACCTTATCTTTCTCCAATAGAGTGTCTTCAATGCACGTCAAGATATTTGTCTTTGTCAACATATTTCTATTTTTTTTAGTAATACTTCTATTTGTGTCAATTACACATTTAGAGTGTTTGGAGACAATTGACATAATACACAGACAACGTTGTTTAGAAATACAAACTTAAGTCTTTAGACCTTAATTAGTGAGAAATGGCAACAAATAGAGCTAAACAACCTTGTATCAAATGTGATAAAGGCGCAGGTATTACTATATGTGGAGGATGCCAGGAATGGTTTTGTGTGAAGCATTTTACCGAACATCGACAGAGTCTTGGTGAAGAGATGGATCGTGTCGGTCAACAACATGATTTCCTGTACAGAACGTTAACTGAAAATAACGTTACACATCCACTCCATTTACGCATTAATGATTGGGAAACTACATCGATTAAGAAGATTCAAGAAGTGGCAGAAAAAGCTAGAACTGATCTAGAAAGATGTTTGAGTGAAACAAAAATTCAATTAAAAGAATCCATGGACAAAATAAAGAATGAATTAGCATCGAGTTGTGTATCCGAAGACTATACCGAGACGGAGTTAAGAGAATGGGCTGAAGAACTGAACAAACTTCGACAACTACTTGAGACACCATCGAATTTTGACGTTGTTGAAGATAATCAATCCCACCCATTCATTCAAGTCATTCCACAGAAACGTATGTAAAAACAAAGAAAACAGATTAACTATTCGGTCATACTAATACTTTTCCACAGTCAAGATAAACATCTATTAGAGTTCAATGTAGTACATTAGACAGAATTTAGGATCAGAACTTAACAAAGACATTTAATTGCAATTCAGTACAATACCGAAGTTGAGTTTCGGGTGTGGGTGTGGGTGCGAATCTTCCCTTTGTATACACCCACACCCTATACTGGTAATAGCAATCAGTCACACCGATGTTATAAAGAGAAGCATTATTTCAGGAGTGATAAGGTTTTGATGGTGTTGTATTTTGCTGAAATTCCAGTTTTTATGTGGAAAGACATCTTGCACAAAGGTGCAAAACGTTTTGATAAAATTCTTTGCTTATCAAGACTGAAATAGCGGTAATATAGTATATTGTTTCTATTTTATCAGACTGGGGTTCGTACACATCCTAGGTGGTCAACAAGTAGTAGCATGAAAAGTTAGCGCATCAGGGTTAAAAAAAATAAATTTAAAACTATGAAAAGGATTTTAAAATCACACTTTGTATCTCGTTTAGCTCGCTTGCCGACAACAGTAGCTGACTAATGGAAAAGTTTTTCACGACTTCATCTGTTTTTCCTTTCCTATTCAGAGCATCGAAAAATAAAGTGTCCTCCTGCTTTTTCACAAGCTAAATTATGATTACAAATAAGAAAACATCAAACTTATTACTTCCTGCGAAGAAATCATATAGCTTTTTTAAATAAAACTAGTCAAAACAAAGCAAGGATATATTGATTTATATATCTCGTTGCAAGATAGTAGACGAAAAGTTTTGAAACAGTTTTCGTTTGCTTCTTAGTATTAGCGTATATGACATGTGACGGACTAAATAAACGGTGTTAGTATTAGAAACTCTTAGAGCTAAATAGGTTGACTTGATTTCTTAGTAGATCTGTATTAATAAATTTCTCTTCAAAAGATGTAATTAGTTAATTGATAAATGAAAGAGGTCGGTGTTTCACCAGTTGAATGCTGCAATTGAACTGGCCAGATTTTTTACTAAATGTTCACCTCTATGTCAAGAGTTGCAACCGATCGGTCGTCGCAACGATTTCTAATGGAATTACAAAGTTACAAATCGGAATCAGTGATTTGACTTCGAAGACGTCAATAAAAGTTGTTGGTATGACTGAAAATATGTGTTTGGGTACAGAAAACACATGCAGTGACGAAAGCTTCCTATATCTTTGATATATTCAGAATTGAGATAAGCAAGGTTCATTCAGCCGACCTATTACGTGTAGACATACAGCAGTCCCAGTTGACTGATTTACTATTCAGTGTCCGACTGGTATTTTCGTTTTTTCCAATGCATCACTATTATCTAATTGTGACGACCGGTCAAATGTGTGCGCCTAAGGTAATGACTAATAGAACATCATTGTATTTTCACAAATTCTTATCCAGCATGATCCAAAGAAACTGTTTAGCTAGGATAGGCTAGTACTTGAAGTAATTAAATATTATAAACTTTTCTCCTAGTACTACTTTCTACATAAAATACCATTTGTGCAAAAATAGACCATTTGGCATTTATTTTGCACGAATGAGACAGATTTTCAATAATTTTTTAAAGATATGAAAACAAAAACAAAAGAATATTAGCCATTGGAGAAAAGAATGCTTTTTTGTTATCAATAGTTATTGATGACTAACAATGACTTCTTTTCAGTTTTAGATTCGATTTCAAAAGTCTATTTTTTATCTAGACATCATGAAGTTTCACTTGGTTTGTTGTTCGTGTAGCTTACGTACTATTAAAAGTAGACTTCAAAAAGATGTTAGTGACAATATTGATATTTCTTAAAAGGCAGTGTCGTATATCCGAAAATTAAAAATGTAACCCAAAAGTAATTCTTGTACACACGAATGGATCTCTAAGAAAGACGAGCGCATTTCTGATATTCCTGAATTTTCGTTAGCTTCCATCGAAATTTCCTAATGAGTGAAAGTGTTACGAGACACATTGCAAACGATACAACAATGCACGTTCAATAGAAGATGAACATACAAGACATGTACTTGATATAAGATCATATCATTCAGAGATGCATTCATGTGGCACAAGTTAACTGTTAGTTGACATTTTCCACATTCTCCATTTTTTGAGCACGTAATTCTACTTTTTCTCTAATAGTAGCAGAATAACTAACATTGATCGAATTTCGTAACTTCTTTGACCATTGTGGTGTCCGCAGTAAAGATATACAAATATCAATTCTAGTAGCATACCAATCATCCTTATCGTGCGAGAATAGGGACTTCGGCAACCCGTAAAAGTAATGATTTCCTTAAGAACAAAACAGAAATTGTTCCCTACCGTAGAAGAAACTTATCTTCTCCACTTAAGAGACAATATTGTAAAAAACAAGATGTATCATTTCTTCTTTATCAAAGTAAAAAATATTTTCAACACGGGTATTACAAGATTCAAGTATAAAACACGATGAAGCCCTAGTAAGCATAAATAGAAATCTACACCATATAAGCTACATCACTTGAATGACTCATAAGAGTACCATGTCTAGATATGTGTCCTTATTTATCTATGGTGCACGTCACATAATCATATTTTAACAAGCAAAGCTTGAATTGTTCTATTTCAGAATTCATTAAATCGAAGATATTCAATATTTAAATACAGGTTTTGAGGCTGACATACGTAGCTCTGTAAAACAAACTGAGATAATGATTTCTCTTGCTATATATTTCAATCATCATTATCAATAGTGTTTCACACCAGAAAAACATATAAAACTTAGCGTTGATTACTTTGAATACTTGGAACTTTCCTTTAGAAAACCAAGAGTTTGCTGCGCCGGGTGCTTACGAACCGCTGTTTCAAAATTATTTATTTCTCGTGTTGCCATTTGTTAGTATGACAACTGCAAGCGTATACTCCAACCAGAAAAAAGTAGATGTACAGAGCGATTGTTGTAAACATTCAATTATTCTATGGTTTTTCGCTAATTCATTAGAACGGAGTGTTCACTTGGAGAAAAGAAAATTGGTGAAAAGAATATTATGGGTCGTTCTATTCAGTCATCTTCTATGTCAACTATAATTCAATTAAGAACTTCTTATTTTTCTTTGATAGCATAAAGGAAAGCGAACAAACTTTTCATAAGTGTAGTTCATCTGTCACACAATATTCGATCCTCACACTGACTAGAACAAATTCTTTCCTATTGAGCAAAAATTTAGAATAGAATATTTGTGCCAATTGCGCCAAATGTCGTTTTGATCGTTCATTTTTCCGATGGTCTTAAATTTCTGGACGAACTTCAAATCTAAATTTTTGCAGTAAAAAAATAAATGAACAGAACAGTGATTCGACGGATTCATTTGACATGGTATCTTCTTTATACTTAGCAACTAAGTAGTTATGCTTTCAAGTGAATGGTCTACATAAATACAGCCGTTGGTACTATTTGAATCATTCTTTTAGTATGCGAGCATCGATGAGATGTCAAATCGAAATAGTGAGTATAATGTAGACAAAATAACTTAATAGAACCTAGTGGCAATGATAATCATTCATTTCATGGATGACTTTCAATAGGTTTCTCTTTCTTGAATTTCTACTTTTGTGTGGATAAAATAGGCGAACAAAATTATTCGGCAGACTGGCAGTGGATGATGACAATTCATTTGTACTATGATCATCAAAGGTCTTTATCAATCGAAAACCTTGTAACAAAGAATGTTAAATAGATAAACATAACATCCAAAATAAGAATGTTTCCATTTTCATCTGAAGTTTGATCTACTTAGTGATTCACAATCTTGGATGAAAAGTGAGTGAGATTGGTGAATACGAACATGTCAAGCATTATCATCAGTCATTTATCGTGTCATTTTTCGCAAGAGCATATACTTGACGCGTTTCTTTTGATGAAAGCAACATCGGTGTATGGAAAGATTGGAACAAAGACGATTGGAATCGTTATGTTAATCCCCAAATATTGTAATCTTCTACGAATACAATGATTTCCTGTATTGGTTCGATCATCTGCAAAGATAAATGAACAAAAGTTTTGGCAAACGATGGCTTATATGCCATGAGATATTTTTGGATCAAACATGATTTAGATGCTTTAATTCAAAGCGGGTAAGATCAGTGAACGGAATTCCAATGATGCGTATTCACTAGTTATATGATTATTGACCAAAATAAGCAGCGCAAAATCTTCATTTCAAAACGAGAAAAGTTTATAAACACAGGAGTGGTAAGAAGCATTCATTTAGCATGTGATCTTTTTCCTACTTACAAATGCATCATCTTTCATGCGAACGATGGAAAATACATGAATGAATTTCTGATTATTATCGATTCTTCCAGCGTTATCATCATTCACTGTTGATGTTTTAGTGGATGAACTAAAATCGATGCACTTATTCTTGCTCAAAACGAATAAAATAAGTGAATATAATTTTCGTTAGGAATATTCATTTGAAATATAATGCTGTATTAGCTAATGATCTTCCAATATTTGTTTCAAATTAATGAAAATAAATGAACATGGTATTGATCATAGTCATCCATCTGTCATCTGAAAGATGAACTGCTGTTTGTAGCAAAAACTCTGCCTCGGAATTGCTATGATTGATGAATGGATGAATGGCTATACATGTACTTATTGAGCATCTTTTGCCATGTGATCTTCGATTAGTGGGTCAAGTCGCAATCTTTGCTTCGAAGCGAGCAAACAAGGCGAGCAAAAGTATTATGAGTAATGTTCCTTCGCAATGTGGTCTTTGATCAGCTCACTGAGTCCCAACCTTTGGTTCGAAGTGAGCGAAAAAGATGAAAAAATGGCTGATGATCCATGTCCTTTTCCATGTGATCTTCGATCAGTTGACATAGTCGCAAACCTTGCTTCGAAATGAGAAAAACAGGCGAACAGAAGTCTGATTATGCATGTTCCTTTGCCATGCGATTTTCGATCAGCTGCCTTCGCCGCAAACTT